TAGCAAAGACACAAACCAAGTGATTTGGATTTTCACGTTAGTTTTCAAACATACCCATCTCTGGAAGTACAAGGACAGGGTTTCCTCAATGCCTATCTTCAGCACATAAATATATGTTGTTCCAATGAGAACTTACCAGAAAGGAAGTAAAGAAAGCAAAATCTTAAGACTAATTCAGAGAAGTTATTCATTATGGGCATAAAGTCATCCATACTCAGTGAAGTTTTAAAGCATATGATTAGCTTGGAACACATGTTTCAGTTCTTAATAATTTCAGTGAGATTTTGGATGAGAGAGGGAAGCACTTAAATACTCTGCAGAATTGGATCTTATGGAAGAACAAGCTCAAGGAAATAAAACTGCAAAGTCTCCTCTTCAGAATTTCACTCTCAATGCATTAAAATGCACACATTCCACAGAAGCAAAGGTTATCCATCAACAGCAAAACTCACATGAGAGATCAAGACCCTGTCAGCTCAAATACCCAGTGGAAGAATATACTCCATCTTTATATGTAAGCCATGTTCCCCAACAGGCAACAGGAACCAGCACAAGGCCACAGATGTGCAGTTCATTGGCATGAAGAAATAAATTTGGAAAAATAAATACAGAATGCTTTAACCACCCTACCATTTCAAATGCATACTTTTCATGAAGGAAATGAGTGCTTTTGATATATGTTAATATGGAGTTAAAATGCTGGTGTTATGGAATTATTCTCATGTATCTTTAGCACCATCACCCATCCAAGAGTATCACACCTGCAGTTTTCAAGGGACTGTGGCTAAAAGCCAGCTCTGACATAAAAAGTTATCATTTTCATCAAAAGTGCTTATGAGTCCTATCAGGGCAGAGTTTGGCCCACTAAAACACGTGTTTACAGAAGTTGTGAACTTTTCTGTTAATATTTTTTTCTTTTAAGTGTTATTAGTGATTGGAAGAAAGATAACCAAAACACATAACAGTGAAAGAAAAATTAGTTGAACGCTGGTAAAAAAATCCCAAAACCCATAGAGTCTTTTAACTCCATTCCATTTTACGGTACAGAATCTGTCAGTGAGGTGTTCTGTTGTTTGGGCTTTTTAGGGTGTTTTGTTTTTTGGGCTTTTTTGATGTGTTTGATTTTTTGTTTGGGTTTTTTCTCCCAAGAACTGCAACCAAGATTGATATCTCAAATAAAAGAAAAATTAAAATTATTCCCTGAACAGACTGCAGGAACACGGGAAGGATTGCAGGAAAATCAAAAGCACAGTAACAAACAAAATAAAACCTACATGTGTGTAAGTATCACATATTTTCTGCCACATATTTTCTGTCGAGCTTTGCAATTTTCAGGTGTCATAAAAGGAGTGGCAGCAAAAATAACTTCAGAAGACAAATATTATCATTTTGACCTATATCTCTCATGAATCAGCAAACAAAACTAACTTCCCAAGGAAAAGGATGGCCAACGTGCCTCAAATGCTACAGTGTCTGCATCTGGACCTCGTGCCAAGAGATCAAACAAAAAAACCCAACCAAACCCAACAACAAAAATCAGTAAAAACCAAAAAGGCACTAAGAGGTAACTTTCAAACATAAAATACAAACAAAGGAACTTTTAAACAAGTGGTCTATTAAGTTTTGACTTTTTTTTCTTTTTTTTTTTTTTTTTAAACTAAAGCATTACAAATCGTGCTAATGTTGATATAGATCTTTTCAAAGCAACTAGTGGTATATGTCACCCTAAGATGTGATCGTAATTACTATGCTTCTAAAGAGACAAAAGCACTGCTTGCCAAGCTTGCCTGCCAGTATTTCTTCAAAGCTACTTGTTAGTCATTTCGACAATAACAGCTTATCTCTACTTGGTCATGATGTGCTATCCACAAGGCTCTTTATTTATTTATTTCGGAGAGTTGTTAATGTAGGCAAACTCGACAGCCTCTGCAATATCTTCCCACAAAAGGGGAGGATCCCATCTATTCTAGGCAGCTTCTTGGCATTCTTTTTCCTAATGGTCCAGCTCTAAATTAGCTACGTGCTTCACCTGTGCCCCCCTCCACCCTCCCATCCAATAAAGCTGAACCAGAACAAAGGTTCTACTTGTGTTCCCCTTGACAAAACTCGAATAAATTATGTCTTGCTCCCGTTGTTCCAGCAAGCTGGTTAATTGCATTTGTTTCATATATCTCCAAACAGCCTGGTACATTAATTACATTCTGTAACACCAAGCTCCTCTGATTCACTCTGTCACTTCCACTGAGCACTTTAATTGTATTCCTTCTAGCTACATACAATTTTAAACACTTACTAATAATTACACTTCTACAGCCTGATGTTTGCAGTTGGTATACAAAGCTGTCTCCGATACTGGTGGTCTTAAAGTTAAGGATCTTCTGTTACAGCAAGAAGAATAGAGCAAACATAACACTACGACCACACTGATTGCCACAAATGTTCTGTTAAATCCTTTCACAGTTAAAACTTCCTACTGTTTAGCATGTACACACGTAACACGGAAATTTTCTTGCTGAACATTAAATATGCAGAGCACATGACACAACCAGTGTAAAACTGTACTTGAACGTCTCCTTCTTCTCACCTATTTTGCCTCCTTTCTTGCTAGGGGGTGGTGGAGAAACACCCAAAGCAGGCTGTGACTGCAAACAATAAACCCAGAGCCCTCGCCTGGGGACTGATACAGTAAATGCTGGGAGCAGCTTCCTGAGACAAAGTTTTCTCTGAGAGACACGCAAAACGAGCGGGGGTCCCAGACATTAAATTCACCTCAAGTCTAAAGGACTGTTTGGGAGGTGCAAATGCTCGATCCTAGGAGGACTGCCGAGTATCTGGTGCCAGCACAGGCTCCCAGAGAATCGGATGCTCGCTCCTAGTCTTGTGCTCGAACTGCTGCAGCGCATCCACGCTCTGCGCGGCAGCACAGCGCCCACCCCTACTCTGAAAGGCAATTTACCCTTGCGCTGAAGTTCTCGCCCTACTAAACCGTACTTCCCCAAGATGACAATTTACAGCTCCCCAGCTGTTACTTAAACTCGAAAACCGCAAGAAACGTTGCAGAGCACACCCAAGGGGGAGTGGAGCGGGGTGGGTAAGGAAACCCACTCCTTCCCCAGACGCTGTTGAGCTTCATGAAAACGCTCCCTCTGGAAAGCCCGGAATGATGGGGAAGGCGACGGGAAGAGCCTCCCGCCCCACCTGGCCGGCACGGCGGCGGCGGGAGGAGGTGGAGCGGGGTGGTCGGTGCCGCTTCTGCCACCGCCCCGCTCTCCCAGCCCGCCTCCCTCCCTCCCTCGTTCCCTCCCTGCCGCTCGCCAGCGCCGAAACAGGCGCTGAGGGACTCTGGAAATCCGCCAGTTCGCCTCACCTGGAGCCGAGGCAGGGCTAACCTATTTATTTCATCAGCTGGCTCTCCCGGTGGAAAAGTTTAACAATAGAAGGCGGCAAAGTAACACCGGCTACGACAGCTCCCTGCCTTTCCTTTCTCCTTCCCGCTTCCCACCCCCCCCCAATGAAAGACTGAACACGGTAGTTTTTCCTCTCTTCTCGCTACCTCAAGCTGACATTCTTCCAGTCATAAGCTGCTTTCCCATTAAGTTAGGAGACGGGAAGGAGTGCTTATTGAAAACATGTATTCTCCCTCTTCCGACCCCTCCCTCCCCAAATACCATTTTTATACCATGAACAAACTTAAGGCTCTGTAACGCTAATGCTTATAATGCCGTCCATGTGCTGTCCCAAATCAGATTCAGATGAAGAGGATTTCTCCACAGAAATGACATGTCTAAAATAAGAGAACTTACCATAGACTTGAAAAAATGCAAATCCGAAGAGCAGGAGTGGCGTCAGCAGACCCATTTTGACATAGTAAAAGCAATCCCGATCGCTTGCGAGACTAATTCCACAGAGATTAAAAAAAAAAAAAAAAAAAAAAAAAAAAAAAAAAAAAAAAAAAAAAAAAAAAAAAAAAAAAAAAAAAAAAAAAAAAAAAAAAAAAAAAAAAAAAAAAAAAAAAAAAAAAAAAAAAAAAAAAAAAAAAAAAAAAAAAAAAAAAAAAAAAAAAAAAAGTATCCAAAGCCAGTAAGAGGTAGGTCCAAAAGTTTTCAGTTTCCTAGCAGCTACTTAAAGTGGAAAGGGAAATCTTGACATCAAAAGCTGCAGATGCAAAGGTCTTGAATGTGACACTTTTAGATCCATACAGATTAGAGCAGCGAGCGAGCTCCGGAGGCTTCTGCTTTCACACACGCTCCTTCCTAAATTCCCACCAATCCAGCCCGAGCAGAGGAATTATTCAAGTGTGTCTAAGACTCTCTTTAGGATCCATGGCAATCCAAAAGCCAGCTCTTTCTTCGGAAGACAAGGAGAGACTCTGAGAAAGGACCTGATTCCTAGAAAGTGCTCCACAAACTTCCCGGCACTTTGCAGGAAAACCATTGGCTTGCTTCGGCTATCTTCCTTTCCTCTCGCCCTCCCCCTACCCCTTTCTCTCCCTTTCTCTCCCCAAATCAGTTCAAGCTGCAGAGTTTCTCACTTAACTTCCATAATAGGAACGCCCAGGCAATGTGCTACACGGGAGGGGAACGGCTTGCTTTCTCAGCATCCCCTCAAAATAAAAGAAAAAAAAAAAGAAAAAAAAGAAAAGAAAAAGAAAAAAAAGAGAAGCCGTGTCCCCTACACCTCCCTCCTCCCTGAAAGCGGAGCGGGAACTGTTGGAGGGCAGGACCCCGGCGCGGTGCCGCTGCTGCTGCCGAGCGGTGGCGGCGGGGGATGCCGGGCGTGCGGGGGACGCGGGCAGTGCGGGGCGCTCCCGCCGCCGCGCCTCTCCCGGGCGGCCCCGGCGTATCCGCCGCTCCTCTCTCCGCTCCCTCTCCTCTCTCCCCTCCTCTCCCGCCGCCTCCGCCTCCTGCCGCCGCGGACACACCGGCTGGCAGCGAGAGGGAGGAGAATAAGCGCGGCTCCCGAGGCTGCCTGGGGAAGGGAGGCTGCGGGGTGTGGACTAAACCACTGCGCTCCACACCCACGCGTCCCTCTCTCTCTCTTTCCTCCCGGGGTAGGGAGATGGGGACGGCGATGCCAGCAGGCAGCCGTAGGGCTGGGAGCCAGGCTCGCTGCCTCCCCTCCACAGTTGGGTGTAGGTAGGATTTACATGATTGCTCCTCACCGCTTCCCCTTTAACGGGCAGCTAATTTTTCGGTAAGTGATTTCATGGAACTGTTCTCTAATTATTCATTTTCCCCTCTCGCACGCCTAACGCAGGCGCTAGGGAGTGAGACCCTCGAAAGCATATTCCCCAGGGATTTCTCTGCTGGCCCGCTCTGTGGAAAAGGTGGCAAATAAAATAAAACAAAACAAAACACAAAAGATCGCACGTGTCCCACAGAGCCTTTGGGACCGGCGCGCTCCGCCGAAACCCAGGAGCCTCCTGCCTCCTGGGTCCCTTGGATGCAGGGAAGCTCCCTGCTAGAGGGAAAGTTGCGTGGTCCCTGAAGGCGGCGGTGAGGGAGACGGGAGAAGGGGCCGCCTCGCCCCCCAGTAACCAGGGAGAACAGCCCCTCTCCGCCACACGCTCAGAGCAAAGCCCGAACCACCAAAGCAGGAGGAGGGAGGGACGCGGGGGAAGGAGCAACGCCGGGAAAGCGGGATTTAACGGCGCCCGGTGCCGGAGAGGGGGATAGAGACACCCTGAGAGGGGGACAGAGACACCCGGTGGGGCGGGGGCAGAGGCACCCCATGATGGGGCACAGGCGTGCCCCGTGAGGGGGTCACAGACATCCCCTGAGGGGACACGCAGCCCCTACGAGGGGACACATCGGCACCGCGAGGGGACAGCCAGCCCCTCGGAGGGCACAGCCAGCCCCGCGGTGTCCCCGCCGTGCCCGGGCCGCGGCAGCTCCGCTCGGTGAAGCCCGAGCGCCCCCTCCTGTCTGCGCTGCCTTTTGTGCGGCGGCTCTGAGGCCTCCGAGCTTTCCTCTCGCCTTTTCTTTCTTTCTTTCTTTCCCCCTTTGTTTTGCATATACTAGAATTTTTTTTTTTTAATAAGTTGTCCGCGCGAAGGATCCGAACAGTATTTCTGCGAAAGGTTCACGGCGCGCACACACACACACACACACACACATAAAATGGTGTGCAAGTTAATTCTTCCTTGATTCTTGTGTGCAATCAGTGGCAACTATTTTACTGTCGCCAAACGTGATGCTGTCAGGTGGGTTTTTTTTTAAGCATCGGAGAGAGTTATTGGTATTCCATACAAAGCCAGATGAAAACTCCAAAGCCTCTTAATGCAAATCAGGGAACGATGTTCCCTTATACTCACAATCTGCCCTGCAGATAAATACCATAGAATAATAGAATGGCCTGGGTTGGAAAGGACCTTAAAGATCATCTAATTCCAACTCCCCTGCCATAAGCAGGAACACCTTCCAGGTGCTCTGACCAGGTTGCTCAGAGCCCCATCCAACCTGGTCTTGAACAGTTCCAGGGATGGAGCTTTCCTCAGCAACCTGTTCCAGTGGCTCACCGCTCTAACAGTTAAGAATTTTTTCCTAATATCTAATCTAAACCTACTTTCTTTCAGGTTAAAGCCATTCCCCTTGTCCTGTCACTACAAGCCCTTGTCAAAAGTCTCTCTCCATCTTTCTTGTAGGCTCCCTTCAGGTACTGGAAGGCCACATTTACCAGACAAAGCCTTCTCTTTCCTAGGCTAAACAGTCCCAATTTCCTCAGCCTTTCCTCATAGCAGAGGGGCTCCATCCATCTGATCACCTTGGTGGCCTCCTGTGGACTCGCTCCAACAGGTCCATGTCCTTGCTGTGCTGGGACCCCAGAGCTGGAGGCAGCACTGCAGGTGGGGTCTCACCAGAGCAGAGCAGAGCAGAGGGGGAGAATCCCCTCCCTCCCCTGCTGGTCCTGCATTGCTACACCTGGAGGCTACTTCATGGGGAAGGCTACAATTAAAGCTAATTAGAGTAAGGTGATCAAAAGGGTAATCTTTGTCAGTGTACTTGTGAACTGACAAAGCAAGAAGACCATAACTATCTGACAGTATGTGTAACAAACATGAAACATTAAAGAATATTTCACTTTGTAGTGGACATTTCAAATGCACGGAGTTAGTAAAAATGCTTGTTTATTGCAAAGTTTTGAACGGGAAACAGCTACACACTGTACAGTTCTTTATCTGCTTCTCAAATAAAGTTAAGATAAATTTAATAATAGCTGATGTAGACCATAACACTTTGTAGATACATGGAGTCTTCAAAACCCTTAGGTACAGAGGTACCAGTAGAAGAGGATAATGACTCATATAAACATTCTCAGGGAAATCAGTGGATTATCCCTTATAGCTGCTACTGTTTTATTCATTCACTTCTGCAGAACACCACTTTTCAACTATTAAACACTTTGAAAAACTTTGAAAAGTTTCAGCCAAATTTAATCAAGCATTTTCACTAACAGATTTTGCTCATACATATTTCCCTGATTTGTGGTTTTTTTTTTTTTTTTTGTGAAGAGTTAAAAGTTCCTCAAAATAAAATAAAATAAAATAAAATAAAATAAAATAAAATAAAATAAAATGTCATCCAAAATTGTCTGGAGCATTACAGAAGAGGTGGTGTCTCACAAGCACAGGACATGTCACAGACCAGAGTCACTGGCCTGTGAGCAGAGTTTGCTCAGGACAGTGTTTGCTTCCATTATAAGATGTGATCCAGATACTGGAATAAAAAAAACATATGCTGTCTCTCTGGTCTGTCAGTACCCTCCAGCGAACACAAGGCCAACAGGACAGATGTTCTCTGCTTGAACAGCGAAGTCTATACAGAGGAACCGAATGTGCCAACTATTTGTTTGGCTAGGAGCAATATGCCATCTGATTAAATACTTGTGTGAGCAGGAGGAGGAAAGGATATGTCAGTGGTGGTGCACATAAAGCTTCAGTTCAAAGAGTATTGTTGAGGTGCAACTTTAGAACAGGGAAGTGGGCACAGTAAGATTGCCCTGATTCATACTAAGGTCAATCATCAAATGAGGCAGGACTAATCTGGAAAAACAGGGGTGAGATCAGATGTGTGCCAGTGGTAGAGGTAAAGATTTTGTTGCTCTCCCAGTCTGATATTTCATGTCTTTGTTTCCCAGACTTACAAATCTGCATTAAAATACGTATTTAGTACATGAGAGATCAGATCCAGTGTTTAAAGAACGAAGCATCACCCTCTCTTCAGGTGAGCTCTACCATTCACAGGGTTTTTTCTTCTAAACCAACATTACCATTTCTGGTGTTACATATCTACATAATATACCTTATTTCCTGGCTGCCATAAAAACCCCTTGTTATCTTCTCAAAGAAGAAAGGTTATGTTGGGGTGGATTATATAGAATTTCTTATGGATACCAGAAGTACTCACCCAGGGAATTGCTGAAAGTGAATAGAGATCATTAATATCAAAAAAACATATATATGTGGTGTGATGACCATGTGATTTAAATGTAGGCAACTAAGTTAAGTTAGGAGGCTGGTCTTTCTAAGATCTGGAGTGGAGCAAAAGGTGGTTCCAGAGGATAATTCAGAGCATGTAATGCTAGGCAGCCTCAGAAACACAAAAAGAAAAAGGAAAAAAAAATGACAGTGAACATGGACCTTCCCAGAGAACAGACTTTTTGTCTTCCTCTGTGCTTTTCTGTTCCAGGCCACTGGGTTCTAATGTCATCTGACTATTGAATACATGATGAGAGAACAGAATTTATAGATTTTAATCCTTATGAATGCTGAAGCATGATTATTATTCCTGCTACAATCAATAGGGTCTTCCACAGGAAGATTGTACATGAGAGGTAAATCAGGAACTGAGTCCAGGAAAAGCAGACATGTTGCTAAACCAGTGTAAGCGCCGTGGTTAGATGTATCTCACAAAGCTCCCTGAAAAGTAGCTTTTCTGCTGTCCCTGGCTCCCTCAATTCTGACTAATCTACTTTCCTAGAACCACTCTTGTGGATTAAAAAAAAAAAAAAAAAAAAAAAAGGGTGATGGAAGCACACGCTTCTTTCTCCGTCTCACAGGTGTTTCTTACTTGCAGCACAGAGGGTCACCTTCTGCTTCAACATTAAAAATTCCTCAGTTGTGGCATCTGACTTCAGAGTGTTCCTCTGGAAACACCAATCAAGCAACGCTAAGAACCCTGTTTTGAAATACCCTTAGTTTGCTAGACTGTGTCAATTTTTAATTACTAGTACAGCTACAGTGCTTACCGCAATTATAAGAATGATCTATACTGTTGGTAAGATAAATATTTAGTAAATTAAATTATTGCAAGTTCTTTGCTATACATCAGATGCTCAGTTTAGGGTTTACATCCACAGCTCGTTAAATCAGCAAGAACTGGTACAAGAAAAATTATACGTTTTTTTGACAATCTTTAAAACAGCCTCACCTGAAGTAATTTCTACTCAATTATTTTGTTTTTAAAGGAGACTCAGAGCAGGTAATAAGGAGAAATATTTGCATTATAGACATAATATTACTATATAAAGATTTTGTACACCCTACTTTCCCTTTGTTCTATGAATGCGCATTTATCACCCATAAATTAAAAAAAAAAAAAAAAAGATACAGTGTCTTTTCCACTTTGCAGCTTGATCAAAAATTCAAGAAATGAGAAAGACAGTTTGTAGTTAAAAAAGAATTTGAAAATAGATTATACATAGAACTAGGGTCAATTTTTTTTCCTTTCTGGGGCAGAATGGGGAGGTGAAAGGAAGCATCTAGTTGTGGCATTCACCAAAAAATGGGTATGTTTACTGCTATGCAAAACATAGGTCTGCGTTTTCCTGTGGAATAAAAGATGGCAGCACACCATCCTTTCAGGCACCTGGAGCTGCCACTGCAGAGAGCAGCAGCATCTTTGCACTCCAGGGGTAAGAACAGCACATATTAGAAATCCACCTGTGACACGGCAGGAGCAGCTGAAACTCAAAACCCGTAGTGTGAAGAGTAGAGCACCGTGAAGAGTAGAGCACCCATGGCAGTCACAAACACTAAAGTTGTTTCAAAGCTGCTGGATTTTGTGCAGACTTGCAAAGAGCAGGTGGAAGCACACTCTTTTGAGAGGGACAAGAGGCAGTGGACACCAGCTGCAGTGTGGGAGGGTTCCAGTTAAATGTCAGGAAACAGCATTTTCAAACAGGGGCCTGAGGGGGTTGTGGAATTGTTGTCCCTGGAGATATTCAAAACTTAATTGGACAGTGCCCTAGACATTGAAAGTGGACCTCCCTGGAGTTGGACTAGAGAATCTCTAGAGGTTTCCTCTGACCCACATTTTTCTAAGGTTCCGTGATTCTATGACTGGCAGTACTGACAAAGTTCTGATCATGTAGATCTGTTCTGATCTTTGTTTGACATCAAACACCAACGTTTCTTAGTAGAGATTTATATGCTAAGGTGTTCAGTAGCACTCGCTTCTATTATAAATTACAGAAAACCGCACACAGGAGCTACAAATAAAACAATTGCTGGATATTCCTCAAATTTAAGCCATTCCTGTTGCAATACTAGGAGCCTTTGTTGAGAGACTCCTATGCAGACTGACCAGTGAACATTACGTGACCAGAAGAGCATTCCTTGCTCTCTTGTGAGTGGAAATGCTTTCCTTTCCAACTGCAGTATCTAAAATTAATAGCCTTTCTACCAAGTGCATCAAGTTATAGCTGTCTCCACACTGTGTAGCATGAGCTCATAATTTGCAACAGGACACTCTGCATCCCTTCCAGTCCTTGCACTAACTGTGCCTAGCTGGCCTTCTCCGTGTAAGGAATTTCCTCTTATACACCAGTATTTTCTCAGTGATATGTCTTACCCTCTCCCATTTATAAGGGTTGTGATTGTGCCTGTCCTCTACATCAGGAGCTTCTATTCCCTCTCTTATATCCAGAACTCCAGGTAAGTTATGCAATTCTTTGTATAATGAAGGAAAAGTCAATTACTCAATAAGATAAAGGCACCAATTATGGAATAAAGTGTTTATCTACGTAAATAAGGACATCAAAGACACATTCTATCAACTACAAATAAAATAAGATTCCAAGAGTAATTTAGTTTATACTTTTGATAATGTGGACCTCTATCTGGACATTCATTTTAATTAAAAACTAACAAAACCACACCCTGCCCAAACTCACACACAAAAAAATAAAAGCATTCCTGAAGTGACAAGCTAAACCTAATTTTCTAAAGACAGTTTAGGTTTCCAGATGGCATTAGGTACTCATTGTGTCATTTAATAAAAGAATCAGCATTTAAAATGAATAACCAGAATACGATAAAATCTTACCCTGCCTACATGAGAGATGCAAAAGTGGAATTCTCCTTAGAAAAATGTATTTCATCACAGTGCAATCAGACCAATTCATGTGAAATTATGTGTAGCCACTGCACCCTGACTTCCAAGGATCAGAAAATCAAGCTATACAGCAACACATCTATAACTGTACACAATGATACAGAAAAAAGTCTTAAGCTGAGCTCCACATTCCTACATAATTATATTATAAATAATGTGTTATGCTCTCTTATTAAATGACATATGTCACACTTTCCATAACAAGTGCATATTGACAGCCAACTACATTAGCCAACAATATTTACACTTTAATTACAGCTTTTAAAATGGAAATATGCGACTATGTATATGTGCATAAGTTAACGGTTGGACTTGATATCATAGAGGTCTTTTCCAACCTTAACAATTCTGTGATTTTATGATATTTTATGATATGTTAACAGGGCCAAAATTCATAAAAGTAGGTCCCTGTGTAAATGTCTATTATTTAGATACCCATTTGTAGGTGGGCAAATATTGTTTGCAACAGGTAGTGCTTAATTTAATAACGCAGGAAACAAGATTTATGATGTCATTAACAAGTCAATTTACTTGATAATTCTAACAGACACATCCAGTATTGTGTTACAATCTTAAATGGCTTTTGGATTTGGGTTAGGGCTCAGCTTATTCTGTTGTAATGACTGTTCTGCAGAAGAGGACAGACTTCCTGAGTTCTCTTTGTTATCTCTGGCCTCCAAAGCGTCACCAGCACAGATGGGTTACGCTCAGCCTGGTCTCTGCTGTACTGCAGCCCTCAACTGTAATCATACATTAGCCAAACCAAGGACCTGCAGTGGTACCAGAGAGCTTCTGATTGATAATGATGTCAGCTCCTGAGAACCTGGCCCATCAGTATGGTGGCAACCCTAACAGCATTAGAGGATCATGCACGGGTCTACCAGGGGGTTGTAATGTTCCCATCAGGCTACGATTCTTCTTTGCAATATGGTGCTGTCAACACTGTTCTCATCAGTTATACATATCAGTGGATTATTAACAATATTTGTCAGACTTCTATATTAGTTTTGTCCCAGAACAGCCTTGCCTCACTTTGGCAATAGAATTACATTTTGCATTGTCTCAAGAAATGCCTTTAAATTAGAATTGATGTTTCAGCCGTATGATTTTTCACTGCTGATGTAATTTAGTTCTCTATCTAAATTTTTATGTGAGTCTATGACTTATTTTTTAGAAGTGTGATCCTATTAAAGGCAGCTGAAGCATGGAGAGTTCCCACAGCAGAACTTGGGCTAACACCCCTCCCATGCATGGCAGACTAAAAGAGTGCTCAAGACTCACATAAATTTCGAAAGTAAATGGAAAAGAGACATAAAGAAGAAAAAACCTGAAGTCTCAGAACAAGACTTCTCCTTAAAAAGTATGTATTTAATCAAACCCAACTCTTACATACAAATGTAAACACCAAGTATCTTGTATAATCAGTAGAGAAACTATCATGTTTTGTATATTTTGCTGTTAAAGCTATTATAGGATTTAATTGCTTAAACTGTATATAAAATCACCAAACTTTTACCAGGAAAATATGTGGGAATGTTTTCCTCCACGCTGCCTATCCTATTATACTGGGAGCAGCTGTGCCAGTGCACAGTCCCTTTAAAACCAATAAAACTGTGCATGCAAAGGGGCCAGCCCAGAACACAGAAACAGAAGCCAATGATTCATTTTAACGTCTGTCTCTGAACTGAAACACAAAATAGCAATTACCTCAAAGCTGCTCACTGCCACAGCTAGGCAGACCCTTTCACATTTAAAACACGCTAACCAAACAACAGAAAATAGCTATTTTTCTTTTTTTTTTTCTTTTCATTGTACAGCTTGAAGGACTGTGTCTGCTGGTGGAATTTAGCACGTTTCAATCTCAGGCAACTGCTTCAAATCTTGCCCACGATGATGGTGACCGACTGTTATTACTTGATTACCAGCTTAAATTTTTTTTTTTGTCAGCCTTCTGTAGACAAGAGAAACACATTGTAAGCTTATCTTACCCAGACAATCAGCAATAGCACAGCCTTCTAGGACAACTTGGAGAAGAATGGGGTATTTTGCACTGCCATGGCCCAGGAGGAACTTATCTTGAGAGTGAAGAAAGAATTGGGTTTCATCATCTACCACAATGAGATCCTGTAACCAGGACTGTGTATCTATGGACCTTGGTAATATAAATAGTAATTAAATCCCACTGCCCTATTACCTGCCGAAAGGTTATCTAAAGGAAATGTGTCTTCCATGATTCTGGAAAAAAGTTACATAGAAAATTCACTTTTCATGACTTCCCAAGGGAAAACCAAAAAGAATACATCCTAGCCCTGTAATCTGTAAGTGGTGTATCTATTAAGATGTCAAATTTAAAGTATATGAGCCAATAAGTGAAGTAAAGCCACGAGATTATTTTTAAGTAAGAAAGAGTAAATATCCCTATGTCTAAAATTCAAAATACTGTAGTAATGGCTATAGGTGTGTGGGTGGCACAAAATAATGAAGATGAGTGCAGGATTTACTATTTTGTTGATATTTAAAAAGAAACAGGAGTCCAATCTGGAGAAAAAAAAAGAGATATTCTCATCAAAATCTGCACAGAATTTACTTGAGAAATTTCCAGAAGTGCTTACAGGGCTTGAATTCTCACATAA